ATTCGGAGATTTTTCGAATTTTTCGGTACGCCATTGTCCGTATCCTTCATCGGCAGCCATTATCGCATTTCCATTTACGAAAAATCGCGCGCAGAATTCGTCACTTAGAAGCAGAGTCCATGACAGGATGTAGCGCAACGTATGCACATATTCGGAGATTTTCCGAATTTTTCGGTACGCCAATGTCCGTATCCTTCCTCGGCAGCCATTATCGCATTTCTATTTACGAAAAATCGCGCGCAGAATTCGTCACTTAGAAGCCGAGTCGTTGACAGGATGTAGCGCTACCTACGCTCATATTCGAAGATTTTTCGAATTTCTTGGTACGCCATTGTCCATGTCCCTCCTTGGCAGCCATTGTCGTATTTCCGTTTACGAAAAATCGCAAATGGAATTCGTCACTTAGAAGCAGAGTCCATGACAGAATGTAGCGCAACGTATGCAAATATTCGGAGATTTTTCGAATTTTTCGGTACGCCATTGTCCGTATCCTTCATCGGCAGCCATTATCGCATTTCCATTTACGAAAAATCGCGCGCAGAATTCGTCACTTAGAAGCAGAGTCCATGACAGGATGTAGCGCAACGTATGCACATATTCGGAGATTTTCCGAATTTTTCGGTACGCCAATGTCCGTATCCTTCATCGGCAGCCATTATCGCATTTCTATTTACGAAAAATCGCGCGCAGAATTCGTCACTTAGAAGCCGAGTCGTTGACAGGATGTAGCGCTACCTACGCTCATATTCGAAGATTAGTAGCACGAAGCCGACTCGTGGGAGGAACGAAGAGGTCCGCTGAGGGACGAGCCTCGGGGAAGAGGACGGCGAGAGGGACTTGGCAGGCGGCTGTAAACGACTCGAAAACCGAAACAAGATTTTAACCCATTGACTGCCAACTACGAGATATCTCGTAGTAAGCGTCTGCACCAAAACTGCCAGCTACGAGATATCTCGTAGCGTGCGCTGCAAGCTTGATTGGCTAAAAATGGCCATTTGAGTTAGGAATTATTAGAAAGGATGAATGAAAAATGTATATAGCGTAGAGAACATATTAATTATCAATTTTTATTATTAAAACTATTAAAATTATAACTCAGACGATTAAATCATTATATTTTGTAAAACTTCATGTTTTCTTTAAAATAAAATCGTGACACCCAGGGCAAGACGCGCTAAATTTGCGTGACAGTCAATCGCGTTCAGTGCTACGTCGGTCCCTGAGTACTGTCAGTAGACTTTGCATTTGGACGGTGTGCAGTCTAGGAATTGGCAGCGAACTTTTCGTTTGGTCAACGTTGATACACGAGACTGGCATTGTCAAGGGTTAAATTATTAATGGCAATTAATATAACGTAAAAATTAAATTCCCTCTGCTGAAGTAAATCTTTACACTTCCGTGGCTTCTCCCGACTGATCGTGTCTTGGTGATCGCCATTTTGCCTTTCTGGCATTCCCCAGCCCACTATCTTCTGTTTGTAATTTGTACATTCGTGCATTGACTGCATCATTCTTGTGATAGTGGTTGTCATAGAATGTTTGGTATAAGTGTGAGGAATGTTTGTGAGGAAGAATGTATGTGCGTGACGAGTATGACAGAGAGTCGTGAAAAACAATCAGTGGGTGAATGACAGTCATGAGAAATAGACGTTGTGCGTGAAAGAGTCCTGAATAGATTATATCGCAGATAGTCGCAAGAAATGGATGCAAGAGCGTAGACTCATCCCGAAAGTATATTAACTCAGATTCTTCTGATGAGCATATGATTATTTCCAATTACTAATTAGTGTCCACTCGCTGCCACCTGAGCGGAAAGTATAGCAAAAGCGTTAAGCACTGCTTCTCTAATGGAACTTTTCCGTGCTACTGTATCTGTACACTTTGCGTCCTCCGCGGATCGTGGCGAATTTATTCTTCGGGACTGTAAAAAGAATACTGAGATACCGATCCGAAAAAGCGTGGTCGGACTCGCGAGGAGATTCCCGTGGATTTTTAACGCGTCCAGCGAAGACGCCGTTGAACAGCCAGTAGAACGAGTATCCAATATGCAAAGTGGTCGGTGGGCGCGCGTTTCAGGTACCATCGGCGTAACTCACCGGAATATCGTTGCTCGTGACGGGCTTTCGGAGGGCGCGAGAGAGGCGCCGCGCAGGAGAGAGTGTACAGAGCTGATAGGAGCCACCATTACCCATCCCCGTGTTCGAGCAGCCCCGCGTACAAGCCCGTACAACCCCTGTGTACAATCTCCGCGTGGCCAACAGACCGGTCGAGAGCCCCGGGCTGTTCGTTGTCTAGCGCACCGGTCGCGTTCGATCCGACCACCCCTCCAAATCTTCAACCCGATGCTAATTAACTGCTCCGACCTGATCCAACCAATTCGACTTTGCCTTCTGTGCGGGAACGTTGCATCGTCGCGTCCGCCGTTCCATCGATTCGCGCTGCTGTCAAGAAGAACGTTCCGAGTGCACCGGGTAGCCTCTCTGCCTGGGAATTCGACGTCCGGTAACCTAGAGCGAAATTTATGCAAATAAATCGTAGTACCATGTTTCCTCTCGAGGGTTCGACCTTTTTTTCGACGAACTGAACAAACTAATTTACGAAATATCAATCTCATCTTTCGCCGACCCTTCGGTAAGGAGGAAGGAGGAAGGGACGGGAAGTTTGGCAGCGTCTAGGTTCCACGATGCCACGGAATGTTCGAGAACCCGGCGAGGAGAATTTATTCATCCGGATTGGTGTTTGCGGGGACACGGCTGGATATACCGGGGAAGTATTACGCGAGGCTGTTTACGCTTCGCGTGTTTTGTTTATCGATTCACGGAGGAACGTCGGAGCACCCGGGGGATGAAAGGTCGTGGATGAAACGAGCTTGCTCTTTCGAGGAAGGGAGCCCTCCTCGATGGTGGAGGAAATTATAATCCGGTTAGGCTGTTTTTCTTCGTACAAACAGCGGACCTACGAGTCCCTAAAGAGGATCGGTCGCGTCGTCGGAATCTCGGCCTCGGGCGCAGCGTTCGATGGAATTTCGTCGTCTGTCGCGATTCCTTCGCGGAATTCAATCTTCGCGTAGGTCAGAGAGCCGCGAAGGGACGCTGACGCGCGGTGCTTGCTCGTAAATAAACCGCGGAACGTGTACTTATCGCGGCAATTACAGCAGCCCGGTGTATCATAAATAATAAGTAACCACTGGCTGCTCGGAGCGCCGTCACGTCCTGCGATCTCGTTAATTCGTTTGATAAGCGACGTTCTCGAACGAAGTGATAATTGCTGACGGAACAGCGGTAGTCCCGACATTCGCTTTCGAGCACCTCCGTCGTTCGTAGCTTCCATGAATATTTATTTTCGCCCGATAGTCGCCGATTAATTCGTTCTTTAATACCGTCCAACCGGGTACCGGTTTCTCGGTGTAATTCATCGCTGGAAAGCACGGCTCGTCCGGGGGCCAAGATCGATCGTGCTCGATCCACCGTGGCGTTAATTTGCAGTTGGACGATCGCGCAGGATCTAATGCCTGGCTTTCCGGGGGCCGAGATCGGCCTCTGAAGGCACTTTTCGAAAGGCACGTGCATCGTTAGCCACCTGTACGCCTCCGCAAGACCTCTTCCCGGAATTTCTGCTATCGAGCTGGCTTTTGATCGATCGTCGATCGTTTTAGAAACGGGATCTGTTAGCGGGATTTATCAGCGGGATCGATTAACCCTGGGATACCAGTTTATCGCATAATTCGTGATTTAATAACGGAACGTCCGTGTTGTTGTTTGTCTATCAGGGAGATACGTGTCTAGGGCTTTCCTGAGACTCCAGTTTCCCAATATATAGCCCGATAACGATTTAAACTCAATATCGAGCGCAGCGAATCTTGCTTAAATCAAAGCACCGATTACTCGTTATCTCGATGTTCCAGTAAATCGACGTACGTGGATGTAGACCAGTCGGTTATGGTATGTCGATACGGTAGCTAAAGTGGATCGATAGGACGATAGACTCGATAGGCAGATTGCGGAAGATATCGGGAGAGTTTATATTATTCTTATTACGATGTTTTGTCTTCTTATCGGTGACGCAATGGCAGAATTTACGGTCTTCCATTTAACGACTTGACGATTAACCAGTGGATCATGCGAATTTACGTCTTTACTCGAATTCTAAGCTGCGTTAAAAATTTGAGAAGTAAGAGTGAAATGTATACGATATTCGTGATGTCAGTTGTTGACAAAGATAATGAAGATGGAAAAGATATTTGAGCAAATTGCATTAATTATATACGAAAGGGGTAGACTGCTATAGTCTTCAATAACAAATACGTTGAAATGCTGTGAGTAGCTATGAGTATAGCCTGTACCAGCATTGGCCTGACAGGCATCTGCACCGGCATTTGTTTCAATCTTTGTCTTTTTTAACGGAGTTTAGTTCAGCTCCATGTCAGGCCTCGCCGCCATATTAGTTTATACAAAATATTAGTTCTTTTAGTTCAAACCAGCAGTATTTAGTTTTTCCTCCTTCTTTTTCTTTCCTATAATTTCTAAATAAAATATATGAAAAAGGTAAACAGGAACGATTGATAATCCCTCTCGTATGGCAGACTTATGAGAAAAATTAAAAAATTGCCGAAGAAAATGGTATTTATTATTTCTATTCAAGAAATACTAGCAAATAAATAACTTTGCAAAATTTGATTAGAAATATTACCGATTTAATCAAATTACAACGCTCGAAAATCATACCATCTTTCCCAATGCTGTCCAACAACCCTATCCGTGTCAAGATCGGTATTGACTTTACCTGGAAATCCATTTAGAACTTAACCTGGGAAACGAAATTTAAAGCAAAGCGATTAGCTGACCCACTCCAAGGATAAGTTTACCGATCATTTCAATTACAATAAACCTATATCTTAATAACGCGTGATAGCCGATATCGCTTAGAGATAAATGGCCGTCCTACCGCGATAACGAAATTTTTTATCCATTCTAATCGCTGCGTTCATCAGTCGGTGGTTGGTGACTTCCTAGCGCGGAGCGTTCTCTACGAACAACGAAACAAATAAAACCGAACACGCGCGAATTCGTAGAGACGCGTTTGATTAACAACGAAACGAAGATGTGGAAAGCTCGATTCGCTTTGGTGCTCGCGCTCGTCACGCCCATCTTGCTCGACGGTGAGTGACATCCCTGAGGAATCGACGAGCACGTTTCGATAAGTATCGTTATTGCCTAACGCGTCTTCTTCATTTACGAGTTACGTCGGTGCTATTACGTCGATTCGTGGAATTTTATGGAGCACAGGATAAGCTCAGAAATTGCGTATTTGTTTGATCCAAGAATATTTCCAGCTCATCTCCTTCCATCGGTTCCGGTCGACCGTTCCGAAACTGACCCACAGAACCAGATAAGCCCAGAAGTTGATCCATGGAACCAGACTAGCTTGGAAATTGATCCACAGAACCAGACTAGCTTAGAAATTGATCCACAGAACCAGACCAGCCCGGAAGCTTATCCAAAAATCCAGATTAGCCCAGAAGTTGATCCGTGGAACCAGACTAGCTTGGAAATTGATCCACAGAACCAGACTAGCCCGGAAGCTTATCCAAAAATCCAGATTAGCCCAGAAATTGATCCACGGAATCAGACTAGCTCGAAAACTGATCCACAGAAGCTGACTAGTCCATCAACAGATCCACAGAATCAGACTAGCCCGAATCCCGATTCCGAGGTGGAACTTCTGCATTTGTCCAGACGTATAGTTAATGGCACGAAGGCGGCAATAAGCCAGTTTCCTTATCAGGTACATCGGTACAACAACTGATCTATCGCGATACGAACTCGGGAACAAAAGTCAATTGTTTTCTTGGAAACGCTTCGCAGGTATCTCTTAGAAGAAGTCAGAATTCTGCGCACTTCTGCGGAGGCTCGCTGATAGACGAACTGGTAGTACTCACAGCCGCGCATTGCATGTTCGACGAGTAAGTGATCTTGCAAATTCACCGATGCTTTTATCCCCCATTGCGTAAATCGAGATCGTTTCTGAGAATTTCGAGCTAATTGGTTTTCTCGAAAATGGTATTTAGATAAAGTATTTATCGCAATTTCTTCGGGTTTTCTTGTCAGTTATTTGTAGTAAGGGTTAACACGTTTACACAGGTGCTGATTTTTGCGTTTCTCGCTGCGAGGTGGCGCGCGTGTTCGTGCATTGCTTCATCTGGCGGTGCACGTATTCAAATTTGTTGGATTGAAATGGCGAGCACGTGGAATTATAAATGCAGTAACAAAACGAACAAAAATATATATATATATTAGGTCTACCGGAAAGTTCTGTCGTTAATGTCATCTGAAGTTTTGTCGAATTCACTATACTTTCCAGACTTAATACCTAATTCCATCATCCTGGGAAGTGGTCATAAGTAAGGATGAAAATGATATTGTTAGATAAATGTAAATAAATTTGTTGAAAATGTATTATTTTCTTTTACTTCGAAAACGGACAGAACTTTCCCGTAGACCTAATATATTTATTATATATATTAGTTTAATCTTTTAATTCGTATTTTAATTTTAAGTCTCTTTAGCTCGTAAATAGAATGTATTGGAATTAACATCCTTTATTCCGTATATTTGCCAATCAAACATACATATATATAGAGAGAGAGATTTAAGAGTAAAAATACGAACTAAAAAATTGAACTAATTACGCAATCCACACTCGTACATCAACTCTTCGAACTATCACTGACTTTACTTTCTTCAGAACAGCCTTTGCACCCTTAATATTGTTCTACGTATACAAGTGACACTCCTATAACACGGTAGATAGGTTCCTAGAAAATGCCGTGTTGTGTGAAACCGTGTTGTATGAGACCCAGAGCCAGTACGAAAAAGGGGGTTACGTTTCGAAAATTTACTAGAAACAAATTTCCTTTTTATTTCTACATAAACAACTCAATTTTTATTAAAAATATAAACGTATGTACAACACAAAACAAGACAAAAACAAAAATATTATTTTAATATAACATAACTTTAATTTAATAAATTTCTTCGTCGTCATTGCTCATATAGAAGTATAGTGTTGTACAAAGATTTTTGCAATTTTCTTATTGCGTTAGAGCGAAACCGTATTACAGGATACCGTGTTGTAGGAAGGTTCCCGCAATTTATGAATCGTGTTATAGTGAAACCGTGTTATAGGAGGGCTACCTGTACTATATTGTTAATACGTTACTAATGATACTCAGAACAGATATACAAAAGAATACACCCGTCCTCGCGTCTATTATTTGTTCCATCATTTGTCTTCTTTTACTGCCGTACACTTACTATTCCTACATGTATAACGTTGTTCTCCAACAGAAAGTTTACAGTAAACTTTTGTTCCGATGGAATATTCAAGTATGAACCACCGGTGGTACACGCGACGTGAACGTGTTAAATACTGGATGGCTCTTAGATGTCTTTAAATGAAGATTTATTTACAGACGCTATTTATTATTTATTATTTATTATTTATTCTGAACGTGGTATAAATATCGCAGGTATGACATTCAAATACAACCCTGGACGATCATAGTGATCGGTGGAGACCTCAAGCTCAGCGAACAAAGCGCGACTAGTCAGAGGAGAGGCGTGGAGAAGATTCATGTCCATCCCCAGTACGATAGTTCTACCTTGCAGAATGACATAGCCGTTCTCGTTGTACGATCTACTTTATTTCCACTTTCAACAACCTTCGCCAACTTTTACGAACCTTCTCATCCCAGCCTTCGCGTTGCAGCTCAAGATAAAGTTCGAATTAACGCCGGAAGTTAACACTGCACCTCTCGCAGCTCGTTCTCCAATTCCAGGAACTGTCTGCCAGGTTGCAGGATGGGGTTATCCAGCGGAAGTAAGTCTCTTCGTTCCTTTCTCGTATTAAGTTTAATTATTCCGCGAAATCTTCCGTGAATATGAGAGATTATTTCGTTCAGAATTACCCATGGGTGACTGAGAGCCTCATGTACGTGGATCTGCCGTTGTTGAGTCACGGCACGTGTAAGTATCTTCTGGAGAACATAACGGACTTCCCACCGGGGATGCTTTGCGCAGGATATCTGGAAGGCCAGAGGGACTCTTGTCAAGTAATGGGGAATTTTTATCGATACCTCACACGACTGTTCGTTTTTTCGATTTTCTTTATTTAATCGTTGGTCACAGGGCGATTCCGGTGGCGGAATGATCTGCGACGGCGTGCTAACTGGCGTGGTTTCCGGTGGCGATGGTTGTGCCCGGCCTCGAACCCCAGGTGTATACTCGGATGTCTATTTCTTCAGTGACTGGGTCAAAAACCACTTCGTAGAGGCAACAACATTGGACATTAAAATACCAGACTCTGGCTCTAAGCAGGTAATGGCTACCACGCTGTTACCCTCGATTCTATTCTCCATGCTGCTCCATATCTGACGTTGAGCGAACAGTGCTGTGTACATCCGTTTGCGAATATTCTAGGTCCGATTCTAAATCTCAGGCCAATCGAATATAAGCGAATTTGTACCGACTCTTGAAATAAAGATAGTACCTATCTTTTTATTGATTCTCCTTATTATCGATCTCCCTATTTTCACCCTGAATTGTCGCGTTCGTGACCCTTGCAATTTAGCAGAAGCCCTTCGAATAACTGTGTTATTGGCTATTACTTGAACTTACGAATTACTGGTATTAAAATGTACTTACGGTTCTTTCTACCACCATTATTCGTTTCCCTCTGACAGTGCCGTAGCTACGTGTAACCCCAGTACCAAGTATAGTGTAGCTAATACCTAACAGTCTGCGAATAAAAAACGAAACGTGGAAAATTTACAATAGATATGAAATATCTTAAACTTTGTGCGTAGCTCTTAGCTTGGCATCGCTTTCCAAAAGTTATTTTTTGGAAAGCGATACCAATTACCAGGTCTCGCCACGTGGAGGTGGCTACGCATCGAGACCCGGACATGCGCCCTAGTGGCGCAACCTACTGGTGCTATCCGTATCAAAGGTACCCTAATCTAACTTGAAGCGAATTAAGCTAAAGCGACTCTATTGACACTTTATTATATTTAATGTCTTACAAGGGGGACTTCGATTCGGTATACTAAAACTTTATTGTCGCAACGCTAAGATATTTTATTACAAGAGACTCTAATAAATTTTCATAAAAATGGGGAATGAAATATGAAAGACGCGAGCAAGTTAAAAATCGCGACGCGACCGAACGAGTTCGCGATTATTCGAAAGACCGACTAGCGTACGAGACGTACTCTCGTGTACAAGACAACTTCATGCCTCGGCACCCTCCCGATCGAACCTAGCCCATCCAGCCCCCACAGACCCTGCCATGACTTACTCGTGAACGAGAGTGGTCGACGAACCAGAGAAACATCCAAAATCAAGCCGAGGGTCCCTAGCGAGGCCCTGTAGCCGGTCACGCAGGCCCCTGCCACATGGGGGAGAAATTAATCATCCCATGGGGTCTGACCGTAGGCCCATATGCAGTGTCACGGCTACAGGACCCATACCCCGGTCGTGCACGCGCTGGTGCCCAGGACGACTAGGGCCGACAGACCCTCGAATTGACCCAGATGAGTGCCAGCCCGCCGACCACCCTAGAACCGATGCGTGACAAGGGTGGCAGTGGCGAGGGTGAGTGTCGGAACGAAACAGACCCTCGGATTGACCCAGATGAGACCCAGCCCGCCGACCACCCTAGAACCGACGCGTGACGAGGGTGGCAGTGGCGAGGATGAGTGTCGGAACGAATCGTTTGGATGACTTAAAAAACATGGAGTTATCGAGTACACGAGAGTACGTCGCGTAGGCTAGTCGGTACTTAAGAACAATCGCGATTATCGCGAGAACAATTATGTTCTATTTGTTAAACAGGAGGGGTAAGAGAGAAAAAATATGACAGGTATATATTCGCCCCAAGTTAGATGGCATACCTTTGTACGAACAGCGCGCACATGAAACTTAGTCTAGAAGTCTATCTTATGACTACTTAGGTCTACTTAGATCTAAACACACGCATCCCGCGTCATTCATGATGTAACCTAAATGAAGTCTTTAGGAAACTCGAGAATCTTGAGAAACCTAAAAGCTAAAACAGAATATATTATTGTTAATATCAACCTGAAATGAAACGGATTAGTACGAGGAAAGGAAACGAACGAATAGAAACCATGAAGGTTAACCAAGTGGAAGGAGCAAGCCACCGATGAGACAGAAACAACCCTACGATGAGATATAAACAATCCAACGACGAGACATAATCTAACGATGAGACATTCGAATATTGTACGAAATATTCGAATTCTCAAATAAAAATAAATAGAAACGAGAAAATAATATCTGAAATGAAAAAAAATAATTAAAACTTGAAAAAACAAAAAATAATTAATTTCTGAAAACAAAAATAATTAATATCTGAAAACAAAAAAGAAATTATTAGTAAATTGTTTAATGGGGTGGGGTAAGGGTGGGGTGGCTAGCCCCAACCTCACTTCGAATCCCCACCCCTCGCGCACAACGAAAATTTAGATGTTACACTTCCGAAGTCGAACCGACAAATGAGTTCTGCTGCGTCGCGTCGCTCCTTATATAGCCGCTGATCGGCCGAGCTCCCCACCCCCATCGCAAATGTTCGATTACATTATTTATTACTTTACTGCTTTAATAATCAATAATTTATTAATTTCTTTACTTTTACTATAAATATACGTTACGAACAATTTGTTAATAACAATATTAATTTGTTATTAACAATCAATGTAATAATTTATAAACATTTTTGCAAATTATTGATACATTTTAACACAAGTACGTTCATAAGTTCTAGTAATTATCAATAATTTATTACTTTTTTCATTTTTATTATAAACATCCCGCGAGCAATTTGTTATTAACAATCAGTATAATGATTTATAAACTTTTCGCAAATTGTGTGTACATTTTAATACAAGTAAGTTGTACCTCCAATTCATAGCCAATAATTTATTGATTTTTTCATTTTTATCATAAATTTACGTTGCGAAACATTTGTTAATAACGATATTAATTTGTTATTGATAAAAAATTCGATAATTTATAAACATGTATAAACTACATTCGTACTTCCATAGTATAAATTTCGCTCAGAGGCTTATTTTGAAACTTTGATAACTAATTATAGTTATCCAGTTCAGGCACTGTCAAACTCATCGTACTCTCACCTAACTTGTAAGACAACACCCAACTTGTAATACAACAATTACCCATGCAACGTTCTTACCTTTAAGTAATACTTCAATTTACCCAAAACTCGCGCGTTTTCTGAAAAGCGCGCATTTTTCGGAAACCAAGGGTGACAGAGCAATTTCGATTACGGATTCGCGTCGAGGAAAGTGAACTCCGCGAGAATCATCTAATGGATATTACAAACTAGAGAAAAGGTTGAAATTTGTCGGACAGTGTTATTTAGCCGGGCTATACGTGCACGGTGGATGACTTTTCGGTGGCATGTTCTCTTTCGCGGGCAAAGGTTAGCCCGGGAAACGAAAGTCGAGGGATCTTTGGTAGGGGTGGAAAATACACATCTGGCTGGTGTATCAGGCAGCAGCTTTGATGTCGAACGAAAGCCTGGTTCGGCGAGGTAGACGCGTAAAAAGCTCCTAGCTACTTAATACGGAGCTTCGGGGAGGACAGGATAGCGAAACGCGGTATCAGTGATATTGCCGTTGGCTGCGTCGATGTCGAACGATATCTCGCAACGTCTGACGATTCCTTGCCGTTTCTACTGAATTTCACGCTCGCTCAAAGGAACGGTCGTCTGGAGATATTAGAAGAAAATATTTGTCCATACGAAGGGGAATCGGAAGGCTGGTGGTTGCAGGAATCGAGCCAATTACCGGGCAGAAACGTCGAGTTAATAGGATCTCGATGGAATGAACCGCGGAATGCGGATGGGGTGTGTTTTCGTTCGATCGGTTGCATGGTTTCCGGCGCGAGCGCGTCTGTTTTCCCGGGGTAAAATAAATCGCGCGACTACGCGAGCATTTTCCCGGATCGCGAGAAAAATCCCACAGATCCACGCGCGTTCATTCGATAATCTCCCGAAGAGCGTTCGATTCTCGCTGGTAATTAGATAAGAGTCTTGGACTCTCGTCGCGTGACCGCAATTTCCGCCCGATGGCTTCCGTTTCCGAAAGTTAATCCACGTCGAAACCCGAAAGGTGGTCGCTTTTAGGCGACCTTACGAGGGGTATACGCGGATCGATGGACGGGAACGATCGTAAAGAAGCGTGCGAGTGGAAGCAGAGGCGAGGGTGGCGAAAGAAGCTGTACAAAAGCGAACGTACGCAACCTGGAAAACTGCGAGTTCCGCGTGATAAACGTAACTCCTGATACGCGATAGCCACCCTGCACCTTGTGATCACCCATCCTCGAAGCTTACCCTGCAGTTTCTCACCATTTTCCCTTCCCTGGATTCTCACCACCCTCGCGCACCGGCCGCGACCTCTTTAATTCCGGGTTCGAATAAGAATTCATTAGAGGACGCCACCCTCCCCGTGCACCCCGGGCATCATGGGGATTTTAAATAAATTAAAAGTTTACTCTTTTTTCCGCCACCAGTTGGCCATGGAGCTACGCGCGATGGAGTGGCTCCGAGGGAGGAATCGAACTCACCCCCGCTTTCCGCTAATTGCTCCTCTCGGGAACAAAGAAACAGGGGTGCAAACTGGAACTTGCGGAAATCTATTCGTCGGCCAAACCGCCGTCGTCTTGGAGAATTCGAACTCGGCCAGGCTGGAAATTAGCCGGGAGTTTTCAGACTTTGAACAGGCCGAGGACTGTCGCTGGCAGGGGTGGAGCGATATTTTCGTGGTTGAATATCGGTATTAATATTACGCAATATCCACCGGTACAGGGTTCAAGTTAGAAGAGGTAAGGTCACGATTGAACGAAACTTTCCGGGATTATTTGCTACGGAGATCGTACGGTCAACATCTCCTACCCTCTTCCTTCCATGGTGAAATAGTTTCAGCGTGAAATAAGACTCTATATTAATCCCCTAATACCTCGCCGAGTAGGATGCACCCCTTCCATCCTCGATGATTCAAGAAATAATCGGGTTTACATGCTAAGGAGCCAGCCAATGAAACTTAATCGATAATACGAAGCATTTATCGGAGATACTCGTTACACGTGGGGTCGGGTCGACGCTTAAATTGTGGCAAATTGCGAGCCGACAGGAAAACCAACAGGCAGCCGCTCCATCGCGTTATGGAAATTTCGGGCCGCGCAATTATTTCGATCGATCGTTGCGAGGGCAATCTCTTTGCTCGTTCGCGGTGCTCCTCCGTAACGGAGGGGAGATCAAAGGGGCCGCTTTCCCTCTAATTACGGAAAATTTCGTCCTCAGAGGTATTTAGTCAGACGAGAGACGTTTCCTACGCGATACAAGGGGGAAATCTTAGCCGTGCCGGGAATCGAACGAAGCGTGAGACACGCGAGGGTCTCGTACTCGTTCGCCCACG